TTTTTTTTTTTTTTTCTTTAACACAATTCTTTTTGGTTTTAAGGTTTTGTGTAATTTGTATTCATTCTAGTGTAGTGCTTTTACTCGTTGGTTCTTTGCTATTTAATTACAAGTTAATGGAAATGGGGGGAGTTCCCGTGGGTTCACGAGAGCGTCTGTGTTTAAAGTTCAAAGGGATTTGTGTTTGTTTAGACCAATGAATATGTTTAGGGAAAATGTTACGGTCCTGTTATAAGATCATCTTGTCGGGAGTTTTAACCGTTGGATACACAATGTAGTTAGTATAGAGTAGATGATCTAATGGTTAAATCACCAGACAAGATACTTTTGTAATGGGACCATAACATATCCATATGTTTAGTATTAGTGATAACATACTTTTTTTTTTTTCAATTGAATGACACTCATCAGTCAAAATATAGAGAACGCCATTTGTAAATGATTAGTTTAGAAAACAAATATATTATTTTATTTATACTTAAATGTATTAACAAATATGAAAAACTGTTTAAAATATAGAGATATTTAATAGAATAATATAATATGAACATGAGAATAAGTGGTATTTAGTTTTTACATATGATACTACAATTATTTTATTATTATTATTATTATTATTATTATTATTATTATTATTATTTATTATTATTATTATTTCACGTTAATAGGACGTATAGAGTAATGATGATAATGTTTATATATTAGGGCTCATGCTCTTCGTGTGGGAACCAGTACAGGATATCCTTTGAGTTACGTCATATTTATTAGGGTCAGATTTCCTTTACTACCCCTACGCCTTTGTTTAGTCTCCTATAAACTAGGGGTGTAAATGTAAATTAATATAACCGTCCCTTTTCCCGACAATTTCTGCTCATCACTACACGCGCTCTCTATGTCTCAGTTCCTGTCCGTCCGATCGAGCTCCCCTGATCCATCCAACGGCTGCACAATAAAAACAGCTGTAACAACTTCTGACGACGTCGTTTCGTAACCTCAAATACAGACAAAATCGTCAGGCAAAAACGACGACACTGCTACCTACACGTGGCGGTCAGCACCATCTTGTACCTCTCACGAACCGCCACGTGTCCGGTGTCCCCCTCGCTTGCCTGCCTATAAATTTCGAAACAGACTCTGTCTCTCTCATTTTTCGTCCTTGCCATTTTCATGGATCCACAGTTCGTGTTCCAGATGAATCCGCCGGCGTTCCCCGTTGGCTACGCCACCACCGGCGTCGAGGATGCTTACATTAGAGGAGTCCAGACCGGCCTAAACTTCCGCTCCCTACTCGACAGCGCTCCCCTCGCCGCGTACGACGGCGTCCTCCGCGCGCCTATCACCTCCGTACCCGAGACGGCTGCGCCTCCTCCTCCTAGCCGCGTCGGAAGACTGCCGGACCTCAGCTACCTCGATACCGCCGCCGGACTGGAGTCTGGATTCCCGATCGGCGACCGATTTCGCAAAACTAGGGCCCAACAACAGCCGCGGCGGCGGTCGACGGTGCCAGAGAAGGCGAGGCTTCTCCAGAAGCTGCTGCCGTCGGAAAAGAGGATGGACACAGCGGAGGTGCTGGAGGAGACGCACAAGTACATCAGGTTCCTCGAGGCGCAGGTCGGCGTGCTCCGGTCCATGCCCTGCCGCGACAACTGTCTTCAGGCGGCGGCGTCGGAGGGCGGCGTGGATCTGGGGAGGCTCAGCAGGCAGGAGCTGCTGCAGGCGGTGGTGAACTCGCCGGCGGCGCAGGAGGTGCTCTACACCAGTGGCTGCTGCGTTTGCTCGGCCGAGCAGCTTGAGATGATCTACGATCAAAACGCTGTACGGTTTTTTTGAATTTCTCTTGATTCAGCGCCTTTATTTTTTTTTTTTTTTTGGGTAGTGGTTTGAATTTTCGTAGCTGATGATAGACGGATTTTGTTTGAAGGGGAAAATGTAAAGAAAAATGATATTGTTATAAAATTTTCATAGTCAGGCCTTTATGTTAATTTTTTATGTTAAGTCAATGGGGTTTACTTATCATAACGTTGTTATTATGGGCTTAAACATAACTTTGCCAAAGACAACTAACATCGCAAGTGTTTTTACCAATATTTAGTCTTATATGATTTTGGAACGATTTGTCTTCATTCTACATTGTCCAAAAAGTGGTTACGGGGCCCCGTACACTGTTGCCTAGCTTGAAAATTGAGTTCCAAACATGGACAAAAATTCAAAACTCGTCTTATAATTTGGCAAAAATATAAATATTTTTTCGTCGTTGACAACTTTCAATTTGGATCCAATAATCTAACAGTTTAATTAATTTTAATTCATTTTTATCAACACTCTGGATAAAAACGTGACGTGACGATTTATTAATATGACATGACGTTATTGTGGTTTACGATGATTAGATTTGAAAAGACAAAAAATAATTCATTCCAAATTATTAAAACTAAATCCACATGGTCAACACCCAATTTCACAATCTTAGTAAACTTTTTATATTATCTTGAAGCTCTTTTTTCCTCGTTCATCTCCTAAAATTTTTAAGAAAATTCCACCAGTAAGGCAGTCAATTACTTCGGTCAAAGTGTTTAGATCTAGAAAATTCCGATCAAAATTCGACCTTCTTCTTGAATTTCTCGGCGATCCACGAACGACCCATTGAAATTCAAGGACACGTTCGGACTCCACCATGTACGGAACCACAATTCCCGGCGACCCATTTTTTCCGGCGGGGCGACTTTATTTTTTTTTTTTCGGCAGACCTCCATGCTCAGGTCTTTGGCCGCCGCTAGCGCCACAAACTCAGTTGCGTCCTCCACGCACGTCACGTGCCCTGCCCCACCGGGCCACCGACGATGACATCACGAACCCCCGAAAAAGCCGAATCCAGGTCGAAGCTGCTGATGGGGCTCGCCTTTCTGCCGACCCTTGCATCCACCGTCAATGCTCAAACTTGAAAGATCCCCCCGATGGGAATCTGTCGGCGATCACCAATCTGGAGGTCCAAGGCTTTGACACCGCCGAAGTTCTGGGTTCTGACCGAGCTGCAAAAGACTATTGGACAATGCTGCAAATCAAGACCAAAAAAATGAAGATGGTGAAGAGGACAATTTCCATAAATTCAATTAGGTCTAGAGGGCAAAATAGGGATTTTAGAAGAATCTTATTAATTAGTTTCCCATGAAAATACAATAATTAAATGAAAATGACATGGAATTTAGCTTAGGTGTTATCCCCACTTTTTTATTATCTTTTTTAATTTTTTTTTGTAATGTTATCCGGTTGTATGTGTACACTTGCCAGTGAGTGTGCCATCTCATATTGAAAAATCGTAAACGGATTTGACTGACCGGCGAATCACACACGCCACGTTCTTATACAAGATGCGGATAAAAATGGACTATATCGATCAAATTGTCATATTATTGTATCAAGTTTTAAATTGGTCAATAATAGGGTGAATTTTTAGACTTTGAACAATTTCTAGGACATATTTTTAATTTTTGCCTTTCAAACATTATTATCACTATTGGTTAATTTGTTTAATATATTTGAGAGGTGTATAGAATTTTCTAAATTGAATCTTATGATTCTGGAAAAAAGAAATCCTAAGATTTTTTTTTTTTTTTGGTTGAAGGGCTATAATAAGAGTCATTTTCCGCTGGACAATCTTTATTCGTCACCTATTGAAAGAATCAGGGGAAACAGATGCAGTCTCGTTCACATGAAGCGCGCCATAAAAGGGTGAATCCAAGTACACTTTAGTGAAGTTCTGTCCCAAAACCAATTGGTAGTAGGAAGAGTAGCCCTCATGGCTTATAAGTTAGACTTATTTTCCTTGTATAATTGATGTGAGACAACTCACAAGTGATATTTTAATACGCCCCATCATTTCTGAGTCCTTCATACGAAACTCAGCCCACAGAGTAGGCCAGGTAACGAGTATGTCATCGCAGGTCCCAGGTAGGCCGCTCTGGTACCAGAAAGAAACTGGAGAAACGGGTGCAGTCCCATGCACGTGAAGCGCATCATAAGAGGGTGGGTCTAGATGCATCTTAGTGAGATTACGTTCAAAAACCAATGGGTAGTAGGAGGAGTAGTCCACTAAGCTTATAAGTTATGTATATTTTTCGTGCATAAACGATGTGAGATAACTCTCAAGTGATAATCTAATACCTATGATAAGAGTGTGGTAGAAAAACTCAATCGGGGATGATTTCTGGCCATATCCTGCATCTATAAAATAATTACCTTCTAGCCAAACGTAGTATGATAAGAATTGTCACAATGGATTTCAGTATAAGTTACTGATATAGCACAGAAAGCTCTGTCCGAAGCCAAAACTCTTATAGCTCAGGTCTGGTATGGAGCTCCCTTAACATGACTTATTAGCAATAGGTCAATTGGGTCGAGATAGGTCTCTGAGGTTGGGAAGTCAAGTTATCGACCTGGGTCTTTAGTTAGCAAGTTGGTACAAGACGACGCATCAGGCTTTAGAGGGTGGTTTAGCGCTCATAGAGGCACTGACTGTGAGACAACATATAGGCAGAATTGTGAGGATTCTAAGAGTGTGTTTGTTTATAAATATATCCTAAACAAATTCAATCCCATGCCAAAATCCAACTCAAACCTATTATACTCAATATTATCAATATAATTAAATAATATCAATAAATCATTCTTACACATCACATCAACTTTAGTTTTCTATTCATCGATTCATATAATTTTAACTATCTATCATTTACAATCATCTCAAACTTTTACATCAAATCAGTTTTAATTATTTATTTTAAATATTATTCTAATACAAACTTATAATTTCACTAACATCTAATCATAGCAATTTTTTTAAATTGAACCATGATTAACAAAAAAACACAATCATATTCCAATATATTTGTAAATAAGCAAGCCTTAAGAATCTGGAAAATACGGAAAGAGATCTAGCTCAAGAAGGTATGTGGATATATAGTTTCTTTAGAAGAATACATTTTTTTTTGTTTTGGTGACAAGGTAACTATATTTCTTATTTTAAATATTATTCTAACTATATATGAAAGGAGATCTATCATTTATTTTAAATATTATGCTAATACAAACTTATAATTTCACTAACATCTAATCATAGCAACTTTTTTAAATTGAACCATGATTAAGAAAAAAACACAATCATATTCCAATATATTTGTAAATAAGCAAGCCTTAAGAATTTGGAAAATACGGAAGGAGATCTAGCTCAAGAAGGTATGTGGATATATAGTTTCTTTAGAAGAATACATTTTTTTTGGTGACAAGGTAACTATATGTCTTATAAAAATAGAGGTACAATCATTATTAATTACAGACCACATGTCACGACCCGACAAAGTAGAATTCATATTATTCTTTATTTAGACTAACCTCCACAAAGAGACAAGCCTAATCAAAACACGCTTTTCAGTTAAACCTTGCTGATGAACACTCTAGAGTACACTCTAGATTTAATGTAGTAGCACCTTTGGTGTTTAGGAAAATGGGCTAGTCTAAGTAGTAGATTTCTACGCTCGACCTATATAATTAGGTTATTTATTTTCAAGTGTTTTTTTTGCTATCATTTGTCACAATATCACTTATAAGTTGTCTCACATTAGAAATATGGGCCTAGTTTATAAGCTCAGTGAGTTACTCCACCCTATCACCAATTGATTTTGAGATGAAATTTCACTAAGTTGCACCTAGGCTCATCCTCTTATGGTACGCTTCACGTGCATGGGACCACACCCATATCTCCCGATTCTTTCATGGTATCAGAACAGGTCTGACTTATGACATGCGATGATGCGTACTCTTTACTCGGCCCACTCTGCATGCTTGGATTTCGTATGAAGAACTCATAAGTGAAGGGATGTATTAGAATATCACTTGTGAGTTGTATCACATCCATTCTATAGGGAAAATGAGCCTAGTAAACTACTTCTCCTATCACGAATTGATTTTGGGATGAAATCTCACTAAGGTGCACATAAGCTCACCCTTTTATTGTGTGCTTCACGTGCATGAGACCGTACCCATTTCCTCCTATTCTTTCAGTTACTAATGAGCCAGAGTTCGAACTAGATTTCATACTCATTTCTCGGCTCGTTAAGGGCTCGAGCTCGAACTCGACCACCCTTAAACTCGAGTTCAACTCGATCGGCTTGTTTACAGACAAAAGATTTTAAGTATATCCAAACAATACAGTTCCAATTAATTAGATGTATTTCATCATATCCCATGACATTTAAATCACACACCGTGTGCTCAAGTGTAATAAGCTTCAATTGGAAATTTAATTTGCTGTATGTGATCGATTGGTCAGATTACAGTGCACTAACCAAACAAAGAGTGGCCACAGTAACATGACATTGTACGTTGCAACTATTTTTTTTTTTGGTACAAGGACCTTCTGGTTTCCAAATCCACAGGGGAACCGACTAATCCGGAATCGAGCCGGGTAGGACCACAAGGGCGGCAAAGCTCTCCCTCAAGAGTTTTAACACTGCTGCATTCCCAGGGCTCGAACTCGAGACCACTGGTTAAGCTGAAAAAGACCCAAGTCATCTCATCCAAGCGCTCTTGCTTCGTTGCAACTATTTTTAATTGAGTTTGTTCATACTTGGGACAACAATTTTCTTTATATTATCTCAGACAAAGTTACCATAAAGTCAAAAATCCCGCGCATTTGATGGGCACTTTTATCATTACACATAGAAAAAGATGTCCAATCTCGAATATCCCCACCTCAAAAATTACCTTAAAAAAAATGATCTAATCTCATTTTATACACTAATACAACTGAATATTTGGAAAAAAA